ATAAATTAAAAAAAAAAACGTTGTTATTTTAAAAAATTAGATGGCGTCCGATAAATAACAAAAATGTAGCCATCACATGAAAATTTCACAAAATGTTAAAATTAGTCAGTCATTTTGAGAAAAAATTAGATTCGAAAGGAGAAACGAAGCAAAATTCATGTAAGCACAAAAATATTTGCACTAATTTTTTTTCAAATATCAATTAGTTAAATGTCAAGATTGCTTTGTTAAATTAGGAGATTTATATTGTTTTATAAAAACATCCAGTTATTGAGAAAACTAAGTTCACGCTTGAAAATCTTTATTTGAAATTTAAAAATTCTCATTTAACTAAAATAACACAATCATTTATTTCCATTAGGATTTATATGTAATATTGTTATTACTTAATTCCAACTAATAGCAATTAACTGATTTTGACAGTTATTGTATTCGACAAAATTCCTTCATGTGTGAAGAATGTTATTTTTGTGTACACTGAATCTTTTTCAGTAATTCAACTTTGAAGTTTGTACAGTGAGTTACTGTTACTTTCGAGATCCTTAATTGCGCTATCATTCCCGCAACATCTGGGGATATTCACAATTAAAATTATTTGAAAATTTGAAAAGCGATAACGTTTCAGGCCTGACTGTGATGGAGCAGAATTACTTTTCAGCACGAAGATTCAAGTTAACACTGATAATGGTGTTAGCATACTTTATTGCTTCCACAATTTTGCGATGGCTTTTTATTCTCCAATACCGATTATCAACACCTCCAAAAGGTTTTTATAATACTCGATTTAAAGCTGTCGCTAAAGTTTTCAGGTATATTTTGTTTCAATTAAAAATTCTTTCTTCTCAATATTAGAATTCACTTCATTTACTTTTCACTGATGAATCCGAAATGTCATTTTTATGATGACATATCATTTGTTTTTTTTTCAAGCTTTGTGATGAATTTGTTATAAAAATATGATTTGGGTTTTTTTAGAAAATAAAATACAATTGAAACGCAGAAAATAAATGGATGGAAGAATGAGACAAATAATTGAAATTTGAAAATAAATTTTATATGCTAAGAGAAATAATCACTCACATTTTAGGCAAAATTTTGAAGAGGGCTTGGAAAGAGAAGGTGCTCATTTAACAATTATTCAAAATGGGAAAGTTATAGTAAATTTATGGAATGGTTATTCAGATTTAGAATCAGTTCGTGAATGGAATCATAACACCAAAACAGTTCTATTTTCAACCACAAAGGTATTTGAAGATTAAATAAACTAATTTTGAAAATTTGAAAATACATGTCTTTAAGTGTAAATTCCAATCACTTTAACCATTAAGTATCATTTGATCACTTTATGACTTTAGCAAAGAAATTAATTTAATATGTTTCAATTCGAATTATGTTTCCATAAAATTGAACCGGAGACAATCCTCATTTCTGTTTCTTATTATATCATTGAAGTTTCGTAATTGAAGCGAAGAATTTATCCAAATTTAAATTAATAACTGAATTTAAGATATATTATTATATTATTATTTGAAAACATATTGTTTCATTGCAGCATTAATTTGTTATTCGTTTAAAATTTGTCATGCTTAAGGAGATTTTGTTAAATTCTTAAATTACAGGCAATTGCAGCACTTTGTTTGGCAATGCAAGTTGATCGAGGTCGTTTATCATATGATGATCTGGTTGTAAAATATTGGCCAGAATATGGACAGCGCGGAAAACATATGACTACAATTGAAGATATTTTAACACATAAAGTTAATTCATCATTTTGAAATTTTTAATTGTAATGAAACGAACAAACAAAAAAAAAGAGATCAAAAATTAAGCATTGAAATTAATTCTGAAAATTTTTGAGAAGCTATTTTTCATTTTTATTTTACAGACCTTTAAACGTTATCATTTGCATGTCTTCCGAGATGTATACAAAAATTTATACAGGCTGGAATTCCATATCTTGACAATATTACAATCGAAGATGTGACGAACGAAAAAGGAATTATAGAGATAGTGGAGAAAGCTAAGCCTCTTTGGAAACCTGGCACTGCTACTGGGTCATCTTTCAAATCTTCCAAATGTTAAATAAAAGTTTTTTTTTTTTTTTTAAAATTAAAAGGATTATGGAACAGTTTGATTCTTTTATAATGATTTTTTATTTCACAAATTGACAATTCTTTTTATCATTTTTAGATATCATGCGGTGACATTTGGCTGGTTAATCGATGGTATTTTTCGTAAAGTGGATGAGAAAGGTCGAAATATCAAAACATTCCTTCAGGAAGAAATTGCTGACAAATATGGTTAATCTTTTAATCGAAATTAAATTTCCACTAAATTTAGTATTATAATTTTTTCGTATTTGGAACTTTGTAATGTAAAAAATTTTTAGGTATTGACATTACTATTGGTTTAACAAAGCAGAAATTCAAGAACTTAGCTCGAGTAACTCAACCTGGATTACTTGAATATGCTCGAGATGTACTGCTTGACCTTCGAGTGATTATCATGCTTGCAATAATGTATGCACAACCATCAAATTCTCTGGCCGCAAGAATTCGAATTCATCCATCATGGCTTCCATTGAATTTTGTAACATTTTGTTTCTTTGAGCATGTGGAACTTCTTTAAGTTTCCCAAGTAATTTGATAATATCATATGAATTTTAAATTTATCAGTAATATCTTTTTAT